AACTCTTCTATGCACATATTTATAACTATTACTTCATTTTCTGTGCCAATGAAGGGACGGCCGAAAAAAAAAATCGCAAGTACTCTTACCGTTGCTTCTGTAGCCCTCCGCGCCCCCTCTTCCTCTGGCATGTTTGTAAGGTTTATTTCATAAACAGCAAATGGACTGTTGTCAGTTTCCCGCTCCCGACCCACCTGGCAGAGGTGTTCGTGACCATCCAGAGGACCGGGGAGCGCGAGGCTGTGTGTGTGTTGGGGCGGGGCGGGGGGGGGGGCTGCACTCAGCAGCAGCCCCAGCATTTCTGTGACGTGAGGAAGTTTCCTGGCAGGTGAGGAGATACGACAGGAGATCGATGACTTTCCACGCTTTTCTATTTGGCAGTTTACAATTCTAGACTTTTCCTACTATGGCGATCTTTTTTAACTTAATTTTTTGGAGGTAACACAATATTTTGGAGTCTTTAGAATTTGATTTTGTACCAATAAGAAATAAAAATTAGGGCTCTTTCCTGTAGTCTGTAGTTTTACTATTTTAACGAGATCTCTGAATTTTACAAAGAGAACCAACATTCCTTAGTGGCGAAATTTTGGAAGTTGATTTGGGAGGCTTTTTGCTGCAGATCTCAAACGAAAAAAAGGGATGATGCTAGTGAAATGTTTTTAATTTTACACTTCCATCAGGTGGATACGTAAGCTATATTTTGTAAAGAGTAGATCATCCTTTGGTATGCTGCATATAAGATCGGCGTCGTTGCACTTTCTCGCTAATAATAAATGCCCTCCAATTGGCTGACCAGTAAGCATTTTGGTTTTTACCTATCAAGAGTACTTGGGGCAGGTGATTAAATTTCTATAGGTACCTCAAGAAAAAAGAACCTGAATATGCTGCATTTTGTTTCTTTAGCTTTTATATGTAGCATTTTGTTTTGCTCTTATTTTGTTTAGATGTATGCTTTTTGGACCCCAATAGACTGTTGAAAGAAATTTTAAAGTTACTCTTATAGGGATACAGTATCCTTTTTTTTTTTTTTTTTTAAACTTACTGCAATATCTGGTTCAAAGGTTACCCACCAGTAGAATAATACTTCACCCAAATGCACCAGAAAAAAGGATACCATGTTTATAAGCAGACAATAATGTTCCCAGTCCTTTCTGTTCACGCACTTGCTGGACTCTCCTCCATGGCCCCGTGGGTGGGCGCCTTTGTGGCCTACGTGCTCCGGGCAGACCCATACCACGGTGTGCTCCGGCGTCTGTGCGTTGGCAACACAGGTCTCCCGTGTGGCCATCGAGTAAGCAGCGTGACCCTAAAGGTACTGCTGGCGTCAGGCAGCCAGCTCCCCTGGTCTCTGGAAGCCAGTCTTCACATCTCTCTATCCCCAGCACACACCCGAAACTGCACAGGTAGGGGTGGTCTCGATTGACAAAAGATAAACTGGTGAAGAAAGCGAAAGGCTGAGACACTGAGCATCTATTGTCGTGTTTAAGCTTAGCCGGGTCCTTTCGAGTTTGTTTTACAGCTTACTAGGTTAAGTAGTTTGCACTATTTTGCAATAAATTCATGGAAAACCCAACAGTTACTTGTTTCGTTTCTTACTGTGTGTATATAAACTAATACTAAAAGTTTGGCATAGTGTTTTTCACCTCCTTACATAAACCTTAACATGCACAGAATGCTGTAAATCTGATAAAATATGATGTGAATGATATTTTATAAAGTTATTTTGTATGGTGTCAATTTTGTTTTGCCTCATAGTATGTCAGCAAAAAAAATAAAATAAAATTCCTCGTATTTACAGCTGCCTCTCCCAAAGGTCTCAAGTTACTTGCACTTTTTTTGGGGTTCTTCTACCTGCACAGGCGAGGGGCCAGGTCTCCACGGTGGGAGTGGCCTTCTAGGAGAGAAGTGAGGCCTGGCCCCCAAGCAGCGGGCCCGCCTTGAACAGGACGCTCAACAGTGCCAGGCGTTACCCCGGAGAATCTGGAGTTTAGGGCTGAAATCACAGGAATGAACTGGACAGAATAAAGAGGGTGTCCGGGACGAGTGGGGTGGCTCCACTCTAGCACCCATGAGAAAGGATGAAGGAAAGAGCTTTTCACCCCAGCCTGATCAAGTGCGAGGCCTGAGCTCCATTTGGGGGGATCAGCTGACCACATTTGGCTTCTCCATCTGTTGGGTCCCTTGCTCCCTGTGCGCTGGCTGCTTTGCACCCAGCGGTGCAGCTCCGAGCTGCCTGGGGGCCTCGCCATGGGTTTGACTTAGTACTGAAAGGAGTATGTGGTGTAGGGGAAGGAGGGTTGGTCTGAGAAGGTCCAAAAACGGCAGTAAGTCCTGGCTTAACATCGGTGTGAGTTCTGAGAAACTTGGAGACGAGCCATAAGGAGAGCAGTGAGGCCACGGGCCAGTTGATAGTTAAGTCCCTGGTCCTAAGAACATCCCGAACTTCTGAAGACCCAGAACGCTTGTGACCGCCAGCAACGGTTGCTAATTCACTTCTCAACCTGCGTCTCCTAGTCAGTGCCGCAGCAGCCCGAGCCCGTCGTGGCAGCTCCAGGTGCAAGGTGGGCCCCCACCCTGGACAAGACACTCACCCACTCGCTAGTCTGGGACAGGGAGACACGCCGTCAGCGCAGGCGCACGGCTCTGGGACACGGGCGGAAGCCAGGAAGACTCGGGGTCACACGCAGAGCACTTCCACGGCGGCCCCGCCCGGCAGCCGTGGGTCTTTCCTCAGCGTTAGGATAACCCTCAGCCGAGACGTTCCATTCTGGTGTCGCTTACAGCTGTTTTCTAATTTTTTCAAGGATAATGTGTTCATTGTAGAAAATGTGGAAATTGTGTTAAAGATGAAAATTTTAAATGATCTAATCACACTGACAGGTAATTACTGTTAACATTCTGGTGTGTTCTGTTTTTCAACAAAATCTGGTTTGTTTTCGTTGATGTCCAGGACCCTGTGCATCTTAGTACCCTAAACCGCGAAGCGCCTGTGCCCGCGGGCTCTGGAACGTGCCACAAACAAGGAATCTAGAGATTCGTGAGGTGTGCCGCAGCCGTCGGAAGCATGGCTTCCCTTACCACATTCCACACGGGGCTGCTTTGTTAACGTTTCCTGAGTGACGGTTACACCAACGGTCATGGCCTGACCGAGCGACAGGGGTGTATCGCTGGTAAGAAAACCATGAAGACGAGAAACAGCTGAGGGGGTCAGGCCGGCTGGGCATATGCACCGGAGGCGGAGCCATCTCCCTGGGGGACGTCCCTGCAGGAAACAGGACCGAGCAGTGAGGTGAGCGCCCAGGGCCCTGGCTGCCCAGTGAAGAGCGGACCCCATGGACAGCGGGGAGACAGCCAGTCTTCAAGCGGATGGTCCAGTTAAGTCTGGTCTTGAGCCCCGGCCTGCCACGTCCCAGGCATGCCTTGGACTCCTACCTGAGCTTCTGTTCCCTTCTCTGTGTAACGTGACTCCACCCGCCGCTGCGAGAGAGGAACAGGAAGAGGAACAGAGCACCAGCTCCCGACAGCCATTCCGGCGTCAGCGCTTTAACACTGACCAGGAAAAGGACACTCGCCTTCCTAAGACTAGGCGGTGGGAGAAGACCTGCAAAGACGGGGAGGAAGCCACTGAGGAAGCACCTGGAAGACTAGCATGTGGTTCAAGGAGAAGTAGGAAGGGTGTGCGCGCCCCACACCTCTGGAGCTCAAGGCTTACATGGGTGCAGGATGCTTCAGCCGGTTCGTCCGCTTTCTTCCCCGTAAGGGGTGTCTTAAGCAGCGTCACACTGCTGCAGGCAGGGAGACTGGAGCCCACCTACAGTGCTGAGAAGGCGGTGACACTGAATGTTGTGCCTCTGGGTGTGATTTTAGATACAACAACAAAAAAAGCATCCTCCAAGAAAAAAATTGGACTTCCTCAAAATTAAGAACTTCTGAAGAGAAAATAAGCAGAATTTCTGCTCTTGAAAGATGCTTTTAAAACGGACCACAGACTGGGAGAAAATATCTACGAGTCACAGTCACAAAGGACCTGTATTCAGAATGGCGAACTCTCAAAACTCAACAAAAAGACAACCCAGTGAAGAGACGGGTCAAACGTGTGTGCTTCCCGGAAGACCCACAGATGGTAGCTATACATGGAAAGCTGCTCGACACCATCTGTCGGGAAGAGAATGCAAAGCACACCCGCCAAGGTTTAACACAAAAGCCGAGAGCAAGTTTTGCAGAGGAAGCAGAGCAAGGAACTCTGCTTCGCGCTGGCGGGAAGACGGCACCGCCACTTGAGAGAAGTGTGGCAGTTCCTTCCAAATGCTCAAGTCTGCCTCTAAGCGTATTCTCCAGTGAGATGAGCTCCTGCGTCCGCACAGTCCCTGTACACAGGTGTGTCTAGGGCTCTGTTGGCAGCTGCCAAGGTCTAGAGGCACACTGAGAATGACCCAACTCTCCACACTGGCGTATCCAGAGTGGGCGCTGCCTCAGTGACGAGGACGACTATGGCACCTGCAACAAACTGGAGACCCTCAGGTGCATTCCCCACACCTGGAACACCAGACTCGGCCGCGCGCGGTGCAAGGCCATCGATGGCACTGTGGAGAGACAGCGGACACCAACCAGCCTACTCTCTCCGGATGGGCTGGAAACTGAGAATGGCTCTTACATTCTTACATGGCTGGAAGAAATCAAAAAATGTCATGACTCATGAAAATTATGCAAAATTCAAATTTCAGAAATAAACTTTGAATACAGCCACACTCGCTCCTGTATGTATTCTCTAAGTGGCTCTTCTAGAACCAGCAGAGCTGAGCAGCTATAACAGATCACACATCCCACAAATTGAAATATTTTTGCATGGGCCTTTCCAGAAAGTCTGCTGATTCCTGCTGCAGGAGCAAGAATAGCTCAGTGGCTGCAAAGATAAAGGGCAGATGCATTTCACCAGGAGGGGCTGGTGGGGAGGTGGCAGGATGGCTGGGGCCTTTGTTGCTGGGGCGGCGCCATGACTCGCATCGTCCAAACTCAGAACCACAAACCAAAAACTGGGTTTTGGAATATTTTATTTCAAACTCACAAAACATGAAGGACAGAGAATATCTGTGGTCGCCTGAGAACAGGACTGACACCCAAGGGGGGAAAAGGGGGGTGGTGGGCTGTGGATATCTTCATTGGTTACACACCCAGCAGACTGGACTCTAAAAGGTGATTTTACAAAATACAAATTGTTTTTGAAAGAGTGAGGAGTGTCAGAAACTAACCCTATGTAAAAAAAAATTAGGGCTTGGGTGGGGGTGTCAAAATAAAAATTGGGCCTATGGCTCTTATCTCTTTGTAGATAGTGGAAATCCTGAGGATATACAGAAGCGGACAGTAAAATGTGAGTTATCATCAACATACAAAATGTTTTTAAAAAATACGCTTATTCAGAAGAAATAATTCTTGTACCCAATAATTTGGTTTGGAATTTTTTTCTGGGGATGAAAGTGTTGGAAATGCTTTTTTTAAATATCACAAGTCCAAGAGAATAAGCAAGGCATTAGAATAGTTTCAAGACTAGTCCCACAAAATTTTACTGTAAAAATATGTCCAGTTCTTTAATAAGAAAATCTTATTTGCTTACAGTTTAAAAAATGGACTTTGGACCGTCAAAACAGGTTTTGAAGTACAAAAACGCAAATGTAACACGCTACCCACAAACTCTGTACTAGCAAAAGCTCAACCAAGCTGTTTACAAGAATTTCAAAATATACATACATGAATTTACACAACTGATATCGTAAGCTCTTCAAAATCTACCTATAAACTAAAAACCCAAACTATCTTTGCCTCCAGAGCCTCCCGCTGCGCTTTGCTTAGTACCGTGGCTCTCCCGGCCCCTCCGCCGCAGCAGAGGCCTGTCAGAGAGAGGCTGCTGTCTGGGTTACTCTCCTTTTGGCCACGAGGGTAGGTGCATCAGAGGTTCCGGCGCGGCCGAGAAAGAATGGAAACATCTCTGAGGGGAGGCTCGAGGCGCAGCAGTGCGCTCCCTCCGCAGTGTGGAGCTGATGTGGAGGGCCCTCAGCAGCAGGCTGATTTTTAAAGCACTTCTTTTTTGGTTTAGGACTCTGCTTCGTCTTCACTTGCATCATTGTCATTCTCTTCCTCATCTTCTTCCCTCTTCTCTTTAAGCATTTTCAGATATTTGCTAGCTAAAATCTTCTTTGGTAATATATCTTAAAAACATAAATCTGGCATCAGCAATTGGTTATGGTAGACCATGAACACAGCAATGCAAATTTCAAATGCACTAATTCCTATTTTCCAAAATAAGACAAAAATTGACTACACATCTGGGTGAGGTAGCAGGAGACTTGCACTGTCTTCCTGACCAATGCTAATGGGCCCGTTTCCATTCCACCGACTAGTCGAAAACCCCGCGCTTCTGCAAGCCAGCAGCAACCCCCTGCCCAAGCCCAGACAGCAGACTGGCCCGACGGGCAGACTTAAGCTCTCTTCAGCTGTGGCCCACACAAATTGCCCACGGACACTACTGTCAGTTTCCCCGTTTCCGAGAACAGAGTTTTCCCTTCAGTGAGAGGACACCTGAAGGGGTGGGTCTGCAGGATCTACACCCAAACATCCCTGTGCAGATGTTGCTGCCATTATGGTTCCAGGTGGCCCACACTGCAGACATACTGAGAACTGCAAATGTCTCCCTGGGCAAGGTCAGGGCACACTTGGGCATCTGGGAAAAGCAGCAAGACGTTATTTCAACAAAAGCAGGGAAAAGGGGGGTAAAGGCTGCAAATTACTAAGTATTTTTATACTATGTTTCAAAGGCTAAGTAAGTACCTGCAAGAAACTGGAAGGTTTCCGATTCCTCTGCAGTATGTGACAGGTCATTGTAAGTGAGAGCTTTCTTTTCTTTTCCACTGCCATGTCTGTAGGAGTGGGTGGCTAGATACTGGACAAAGAGTTCCTAAAACAGAAGGAAAAGATAAAAGTGGTGGGCCTAGCGCCGCGCTGTGGAGCTGCCCGCAGCCTCTAACCGGCGGCCGGCGAGGGTCCCACATGGCGCGCAGACCTCGCCTGCCGCCCGCCGCTCCCTCAGCAGTGAACCTCGTCGGTCTGCCTGCTCTGCTCCCCGCTCTGGCTCTGGTGGATTCTCACCCTCCCGCGCTTCTGACTGTGCCCAGTGCTTGTGTAAATCAATCTTTTTTAAAAATGTGCTTTGAAAATTACCACAGAATTAAAGAAAGAAACGTAAGTTGAGAGGACCGCAAATGATCTCGATCCCTCAAATTACAGGAAATCACGGGAAATACGAAGTCAGAAAGCAAAGCCACATGGAGGCTGGTGGAGAAACAGCATCTCCCTGAAGCTCGGATTCTAACCTGCGGGGCGTGCTGAGGAGACTAACGCCAGGTCCACCCCCGCGGCGGAGGCGGAGGCCCCGGGGCGTGCGGCTCGGTCCCGGGCCGGGGAGGCAGGGGGTGCGCGGGAAGCCCCCTCCCGCGGCGCCCGGGGCCCGAGGCGGGGCTGCCGGTCTCGGCCGAGGCGGCCACGCGAGCCAGCGCCCGCCAGCGCCCGCGCGCCGCGGCGGGGGGACCGCGCCGCCGAGTACGGGCTTCCGGCCCCCGACGGGGCCAGCCCGGGGCGTCCACTGCCCCCGTGAGCAGCTCGGCCGCGCACGCCGAGACACAGAGCGGAAGGGAGACAAGGGCGGGCCGCGGGGCCCGAGGTCCCGGCGCCGCCGGAGAGCCCTGAGGAGATTCGCGCCAGCCAGCGTCGCAGCCCGGGCGACGACCGCCCGAGGCAGGGCGGGAGCGGCGCGCTGGCGAGGGAGCGAGCCCGGGGCAGGGCGGGAGCGGCGCGCGAAGCAGGGCGGGAGCGGCGCGCGAGGCAGACGGGAGCGGCGCGCTGGCCAGGGAGCGAGCCCGGGCAGGGCGGGAGCGGCGCGGGGTGGGCGGGCCAGCGAAGGAGGCGCGCGCGCGCGGCGTGGGCGGAGCGGAGGCGCCGCGCGGGGCGGCGCGCGCGTGCCCGCGGAGGGCGTCCGGCGGCGCGCAGGCCGGAGGGGCCTGGACGCTGCGGCGGAGCCGGGCGGGCGGGGACCCCCTCCCCTCGGTCCCCGCGCGTGGCCCGCCTCACCGTGGCCTTGGCCGTGAGCACCAGCGCCTCCTGGTTGATGCTGGACACCTCGGGGGAGCTCTTCATGATGACGCGAATGCGGGACAGGGCAGCGACACGAGCCGCTGCTCACCGCACTTGTCTTTGCCGGCGACCACGTCCGCCATCTTTGCGCCCCTGCCCCGGGGCGGCCGCCGGGGACCCGACCGCGAGCGCGCCTCCGCCCGCCGCCCGCCGCGAGGTGGCCGGCCGAGGGTGCAGGAGCGACGTCCCGCTGCCCCGTGGGAGTTGTAGTGTCGGGGAGGCGCGGCCGCGGGCACCCGCCGCCGCCTCGCCGGGGCTGGACTACAAGTCCCGTGGTGCCTCGCGCCAGCACGCCCCGAGGCTGCGCAGAAGGGCGACAGGGCGGGGGCGCGCGCCGCCCTCGGGGGCGGAGGGCGGGGGGGCGGGGGGCGGGCGCGTCCTCCCTCCCGCGGGGGTCGGGGCCCGGGATGAGGAGGCGCCGCCGCGGTGCGGCCAGGCCGGCTCGGGCCGCGCGGGGCGGGCAGCAGCGCGCAGGGGCTGCGGGGCTCCGGCCCTGCGGCGCGCGGGGGTCGAGGCGTGACCAGGCCGCGCCGGCGGGGTTTGCACGTGCTGAGCCTGCGCCGAGAGGGGGGCCCCTTGCCGAGAGGGGGGCGCTGCCGGAGGACACGGGGCCGAGGTCTAAGCGCCCCGGGGCGCTGGCGGCGCGTCCCCGACGGGAGCAGCGGGCGGGAGGCGCCTCGGCGGGGTGAGGCGAGGCCGCCGCCGGGGCGAGCCTGCCCAGGGCTGCCGGGTAGTGGAGCGAGCGGACGGACCGGGGCCACGTCTCCCGAGGAGAGGCGCGAGCCCAGCCAGGCCGACCGGGAGATGCCGTCGCCTGGAGCAGAACCAGGGCCGCGTCCACGGAGCCGCGGGGGGGCTGTCCCCGAGGAGGCGCCGACGAAGGGCCCGAGCGCTGCTGGCGAGTGAGCGGCGGCGCCGACCCGCCCTCAGCAGAGCTGCCCCGCAAGGGCGCTGGTCTCTCTGCGCGCCTGGGCCGGGTGGCTCGGCCCGGCCTGTGAAGCTGAGCGCCCAGCGCCTGGCCCTGTCAGCGGCGAGTCGTCCGGCGCCCGCCGCCCGCGTCCGTCAGGGGCCAGGGCCGCGGCCGCGGGGAGGGGAAGGCGCTGGCTCGCCTGCCGAGTCTCCTCCCGCTGCAGCGGCTGGTCAGGCCAGTCAACTTTGATGTCAGAGCTGATGTGGAAAGAGTCTAGAATATTCAGAGCCGGTCTTGTGTCACCCTCCTGACTTCTCGTCCGCCCGTCGCGTAGGTAGCGGTTCCAGCTGCCACTCGCGCTGGTGGAACTTGTTCCTGCGAGTTTAGTGGCTTCTGAAAATGACCTGCTCTCAGTCTTCCTGAGGAGCCGACCCCAGGGGAAAGTCCTCTCACAGCTGCCTCAGCAGTGACCCAGTAGCCTTAGCGCCTGCTGCGCGCTGCGTGCCTCAGGCGAAGGGTAAGAAGGCCGGCGGCAGCGCCAGCGCCATCAGGTCCTTGAAGAGTGTGTCATTTGATGTAGCTTTGTTACCAAGGTAATGAGGGGCCTCCCCAGTGGCGCAGCAGGTTGAGCGCAGCCTCTGCAGCGCGGGTTCGATTCCCGGCCCGCCAGGGAGATTCCCACATGGCGCGGCAGACTCCTGTCACGCCCGCTGCTCCCCTCGGCAGTGTACTTCGGTCCTTCTGCCTGTTCTGCTCCCTTCTCTGTCTCTGGTGAGTTCTCACCCTCCCGCACCTGTACCCAGTTCTTGTATAAGTAAATAAATCTTTAAAAAAAAAGTTAATGAGAAAGACGGCTTGATTCCCACCAGGCCCCTCGTCTGTGTGGTTTGCACATTCTCCCGTGTCCTCGTGAGTTTTTCCTGAAAACTCCGGTTTCCCCCCATGTGCCAGAGATGTGCTCGTGAGAGTCATTGGCATGTCTCCACCCTCTAGTCTCGGTAAGTGAGATGCTCCCTGCCGTGAAGGGGCACCCTGCCCAAGTGGGGTCCTGCCTTGCACCCTGACCTGGCTCCAGCCACCCAATACCCTGAGCTAGAACAAGAGGGTTGGAAAATGAGTGGATGAGGCATCCAAGCGACTGGCGCCCGAAGTGCTCTGGGGCTTTATTTACAACTTCGGCGCGTGTAAATGCGCCGTTGGAACTTAGCTCCGCCGCTCTTAACCTGTACTGAAACTGGTATTACACGCCCTTCCCGTCAAAGCCACACTCGCCCGGGACCCTCGGACCTGCTGGTCCCACCAGGCACAAGGGGCACAAGGGGCAGCCAGTGGGCAAGGCAGCTGTAGTCACCTCCCACGGAGCTTTCAAGTGCAAGGGAGACAGAAGGCAGGGCCTCTCCGACGGGGAGCGCTGTGTGGTGGGCCGCGGTGGGAGTGAGGGATCGGCCTGAGGAGCCGCTGGGCTCCGCAGAAGAGGAGGCAGAGCAGCCGTGCCTTGGGGAAGCAAGGCCGGTGGGAGGCCTGAGGCCTGGCGGTCCTGCTGAGCAATGGGAAGCGCAGCTTGGAAGTAGGGAGCAGGCCCCGCTGCAGCCCCGCCCCAGGAGGCTGTGCCCGCCTGCCCTTGCTGAGCAGAGGCCCGAGGCCCGTCAGCCCTGGGTTCAGCCCGGGCACTCCTTTCCCTTCACACTCCGGGCAGAACCTGCCACACAGGGGGCCTTTGGGTCACCGAGAAGCGGGCCGCCCTGTGGGTGTGTTTTCAAGCTCTCCGATGTTCTGTTTCTCAGGCTGTTCTGGGGTGAGAGTTGTCATTCTCTTCGGGCGCATTTGAGAGCGGGGGGGATAAGATGCGGACCGAGCACAGGAGAGGCATCTGGAGAGCAGAGGGAAGGAGGAAGAGGGAAGCAGCCGCAGTGGGGGTGGCAGGGGACCCTGAAGTCACTGTCACGCTGAGGAGGAGGAGGGCGGAGGAGACCCTCAGAAGAGGGGTGTGCGCACCTCTTCGAAATGAGCGCTCCAGCCTAGGGCCAGAGGCGGCAGGCGGGCCGCAGTGGAGGCTCTGGAGGCGCCCTGCGATGGGCAGGGGTCGGTGTCTGGGCAGGGGTCGGTGTCGCTGTCAGCTGGTCACCAGCCTCAGGAGGGAGCCGCTCGTGCTGAGGCGCGGTTCCCATCCTTGCCTGCGGCCTCCTGTCCCTGTAGCGCAGGACTCCAGACGCCGCTGGCTCCTGGCTGGGGCCGCAGCGGGAGGGAGGGCGGCGCACTGGCACTGCCCACGAGGTGGCCCTGCGCGGTGGGCGAGCGCCAGCAGCAGCTTCCCCCAGGGCTCTGCTCTGTGGCCGGTGGGCGCCGGGGCTCGGGCCGGGCAGCACCAGCCCTGCTCTCGCGCCCCCCCGGCAGTCCCGGCGTCCCGGAGAGCCGTTCTTGGGCCGGTCCCGCTCCGTCGCGAGCCGCGGCCGCTGCGCCAGCTTTCCTCATTGAAGGCTGGAACCAGCACCCACGGTGCTTGGAAGCGGGCCGGCGGGGACGGGCCGGGGCTGGGCATCTGAAGGGGTGGTGCCGTGCAGAGGCGGCCTCTCCGGCAGCAAGCCTGGCGCAACAGTCACTGCAGTTCCCCTCTGTCGCCGGCCGGCCGGAGTGCCCGCTGAAGGCAGCCTGCCGCCCAGGGCCCAGGGCTTGGCCCGAGTGGAGACTTGTGGGTAGGCTGCCTCGGATGGCGCTGCGGACCTTTCAGAAAGAGGAGCGAGCTGCTCGTGGCCTCCCACGTCTGTGCTCGCCCCACGCGATGCTTCTCCTCACCAGCTCTTTGCCCTGATGTTGGGGTTCTGGGAATTAGATCGGGGGGGAGTTGGTGGGATGCAAGAAAACCTTAAACCCCGCACTTTGTCCGTGAAGGCCACCCCTCTCCCCACCTTGCCTGAGGAGATTGTCTTTGGCTGCTTGAAGTGCTGTTAATGAGCTCACCAGCAGTTCTCACCTGGCAGGGGCATGCTGCCCTTGATCCAGGCTTCTCCTCGATCCAGTCTCTAACTGGAGCCGGATCCCCACATGCCCAGGGAAACCACTGCAAAACCCAGCACGCTGAAGGCGCAGTGGGATATTCTTGCACTTGTAGCAGAAGAAATTGGGGAGATTCTAAGGTGTCAGGTGGCTGGAGAGAGCCTAAGTCGGCTTGAGCTGAACTTGTCAGCAGAGCTGACTTGGCAGAGATTCTGCATCTGGGAGCGCCTGAGGGTTTGCTTCACCTGGGCAGAGTGAGTTGGGCCTTCTGGCCTACCCTGGGGGCTTTGTTGACTTTCAGGGACTCCCTGATCTTCATTCCCCTGGGCCGCTCTGGCCCCTGATAACAGCAGAAAAGATAACTGGGGTGTCTGTGTAGATGGCGCTTTGTGGGGAGTGGGCACAGCGGGTGGAGCAGGGCAGCAGCTTCACATTTGCGATGACCCTGGTGGAGAGCGAATGCCAGGCGGGGAGAGCCCCTGTGACCCGAGCTGTAATGCACCATGGGGGGGGGGTGGTGGCGGGGGAGGTTGATGTATACACAATGCCAGCCTTGGGCAAGCCCCAGGGGCACAAGTGAGTGGCCTGAGTCCCAGAGCACCTCCCCCACCTCACAATAATGACCTCATGGGGATTCTTTGTGGGCAGAAAAGCAAAGAAGAGGGCCTCCCTGGTGGTGTAAGGGTTAAATCTCAGCACTAGGAAGCTGTCAGCAGTTCGATTTCCAGCCAGGGAGCAAACCCACAGGTGCCCTAGACCTCTCCTGTCTCCCCACTGCTCCCCTCAGCAGTGGATTTCAGTAGATCTGCCTGTTGTGTTCCCCACTCTGTCTCTGGTGGATCCTCTCACCCCCCGCATCTCTGGTATGCACTCCAGTTCTTGTACATATAAATAAATCTTTTTTTAAAAAAAATAAAGGCAGGGAATGGTTAGTAAGTTAGACACCAACCAGTGTCTACCAAAGTCCCGCCGTTGCCCAAGATGGCGCTCGCGCATCTAGCGTGACGAGTGGGGAGGTCGGGCCGCGCTGGCCTTGCCGCGGCACAGTCAGTGCCACATGAGCCGCGTGCTTCTGTGTTTGCCACCGGCCCCTCCCTCTCTCACTTACCTGTTTTACCCACTTCACTGCCTGCTTGGCCCCTGATTTAGGACATTGTTTTCTAGAGGGATCTGCATGCTTGTTTCTCCTACTGGGCTGGCACAGTCTTGGCAT